GCCTTTCGAACAATAAAGGAGAAACTTTCTGACTTAGTGACTAATTCTGAAGGAGTAGTGTCTGTCAGAGTGCTCTGAATGTTGCCAGCCTGTACTGTGCTTGTTCTTGTGCTTAGTTGTATAAAACTGCCTTTATTCTGTCTTAGCTTTCTGTAAGGCTCTATAATGTATCTCAGTCAGATGAGAAATCTGATTTCTTACATAAAATTTCTTTACACAAAAATGAAAAAATTAGTTTATACATTAGTAATGCTTTTCAGATCTATTTAAATATGATTCTATTGAATAATTGCCACATCCCTCCTCTCGTTTGCTGTCTAAGGAATTAACTACTAGGTTCTCCTAGTAGCTAATTTAGTGTTAAATTGCTCATATTGTTCCTCCTATCAGGGAACAGTACACATAGGGAGGCTTTATTTCTCTTCTTTTCCATTTATTCTAGTGTTTGTGTGCACGTGTTGTTTAGTAGGAATGCTTGGAATTCGGGGTGCTTACTCTTTGAAACCCTGCTTAAAAACACTGTATTGTTGTGCAGTACATTCTATCACTTTTTTTTCCCCACAAATTGTATTATGTATAAAAGGTTAACAAGGTTCTCATAGCTTGTGTAGTTAAACTATACTCTTGGCTGCTCACAGCTCAGTGATTCTGGAGGCACCTTTTTAGATGGCTAGCTATGCTACAAGAGGAAGACACACAAAATTCAGGAGCATTGGAGGATGAATTGTTGCATGTGTCCCATTGAAATACAGGGATTCTTTTTTGCAATAAAATTATTGTTCTGCAAGAGAGAAAGAGTTCTGGTCTGCAGATGTGCAACTCAGCTACAAACTATAGAGCAAAGCAGGGAACTCATGCCAGAGCCCTGGTGCAAACAAGCTATATATTGAGGATGCAAGCAGGGATGGGCTATGAAGGAAGAATTTTGAAAACTTGTCCAGGCATGAAGGAATGGTGCCAGGAAAAACAAAGTTCAGCTAGAGACAAGACCTATGAGATACATGAAGGGCAACATGAAGTGTTACTACCACTACATTACAGTGTCTCCCAGACCCCTGTGCTTAGTGGCAGGTTCAAGAAGAGTCAGGGATAACTTGACAAATCCACAGGATGATCCATGTTGAGAGAACTGGTTGATGTCCTTGCAAAGACACTATCACATTTGAATGGGCATGGAAATCACAGTGACACCTCTGATAAATGGAGAAAGGTAAATCACAGAATCACAGAATCAACTATGTTGGAAAGGACCTTGAAGATCATCCAGTCCAACCATTAACCTAGCACTGATAGTTTCCAACTACACCATATCCCTCGGCGCTATGTCAATCTGACTCTTAAACACCTCCAGGGATGAGGTCTCCACCACCTCCCTGGGCAGCCCATTCCAATGCCAAATGTCACACTAATTTAAAAAAATGGACAGGTAATCAACACAAGGAACTTCAGTCTGGCCAGCTGCACTTCAGTCTGGTGGAGCAATCTACTTTGGAGCATGATTTTGGGCATATAAAGCAAAGGGTGGTGATGGAGAACAGTCATCACAGATTTGTCAAGCATAAATCATACCTAACTAATCTGTGTACCTTCTAAAATGAAATATCTAGGTCTGTGGATTAAGGAGGAGTAGTAGATGTCATTTACCTTGACTTTATCAAAGTTTTGACTCTGCCCTCCACAATATTTTTGTGTTCAAATTACAGTATTATGGTCCCAATGGTCAGACAGAACTGACTGGGTAGTTAGATTCAGAGAGCGATGTAATAAATGCTACTCTAACTGCAGGCCAGTAACAAGTGGCATACCGATGGGGATTATCCTGGGGACTGTCCTGTTTGATATGTCAGTGACCTGGAGGAGGTGATGGAGTGCATGCTTAAGTTTGCAGCTGACATCAAATTGGGATGAGCATTCAATACTCTTGAGGGCAGGACTGTCATCTAGAGACATCTAGACAGACTTGAGTAATGGTCCAAAAGAAACCTTATGAAAATTGTCAAGGACAAATGAGAAGTCCTGCCTCGTGGGAGGAAGAACCACTGGTAACAATATAGGCTGGTGTCTGCCAGGCTGGGGAGCAGCTCTGCTGGAAAAGCCCTGGGACTCTGGCCCGCAGCAAGCTGAGTATGAGCCAGCAGCCTGCCCTGGCATCAGAGATGGCCAGCAGCATCCTGGGCTGTATGAACAGGAGCACAGCTGGTAGATCAAAGGAAAGGATTGTCCACCACTGCTTCTACTTGACAGATCAAATCTACATGGTCAAGGGCTTGAGCACTTGCTTTGTGAAGAGAAGCTGATGGGCCAGGGCTTCTTCAGTCTGAAAACATGAAAAGATAGCTGGAGGGGGACCTAACAGCTGCCTGCCCATAGCTACGGAAGGGTCACTGAGGAGGCAGATACAGGATCTTTACAGCAGCGCATGGCAGGAGAATGAGAGGCAAGGGGTGTGAGCTGAAACAAGAGAGGTTCATGCTGGGTATAAGGAGAAACATTTTCCCTGTGAGGACAGGTAGACAATGGGGCAGGTTGCCCAGAGACACTTCATGGAATCCATCCCTGGAGGTTTTCAAGACCAGCCTGGACAAAGCCCTGAGCAGCCTGTATGACCCTGCTTTGAGCTGGAGGTTGGATGACAGACCTTCAGAGATCTTTTCCGAACTGAATTATCCTGTAATCTTAAGGATGGGTTTTGAGATGCTCAGTTACAGGAAACCAATGGCAGAATTGTCTGTTAACTGGTGAATTCCATTAAATTCTGCTTTTCTGTGATCTTGATATGGTGTTATTAATTGCAAATTACATATTTCCCTAGAATATGATAAAAATAACATAAGGATAGAAAGACATGTGGCACATACACTATCAGAGTCATTCTCAAAAAGTTGATTCAATTCCAGTTCTTTTTTCTGATTACTGAGTGTTTTGGGCATCACAGATTAAGAGAAGGGAAAAAAAAGAAAAAGAAAAAAAATATATTTGTCTCTGAAGCCAGATTCCTTAACCCAGAAAAACATACATTTTCTTATTTTCTGTTTCCTACGCATCAGAGTAAAAGGACTTTCTGTCACTCATCATCATCAGAAGCCTGTGGTAAAAATTAAGTAAAATGAAAATAATATATTTAATAATCAGAATAGATTCTTTATTTTTTTATTTTTATGTATTTTTATTCCACTTATGTCCAGTTGCTACTAGAAGTAATATGCAGTGCCCTCTTAGGGACTTGCTGCTACCCACTAGTTCTTCCCAATTTGCAACTGGCTTCTCAGCAAATTTTCTGGTCATTAAAATAAGAATACTCCTCAATTTCTATTAAAAAAAAAAATGCACTTTTAACATTCACTTGAGGTCTACTTGCTCAGAATAATTTTCCTGAACATTCAGTTCCAGTTTGGTATTTTTGATGTGTTTGAGACCTCTGCACAGGAATGCTTTGATAGCACAGCTGTTTCCTAGGAGTTCCAGGTTATGGACCCTGGGGATAAAGTGAAAAGTCTGGAGAACATCATCAGGGAAGTTACTTTTATTTCAGGGTCTATTTAGTAAGAAATAATAGGGATACCCTCTTGTTTTCCTGTGCTGGAGAATCATTTCCCACTTTTATTTAAATTTTTGATAGGATGAAATAGCAAAATAAAGCATCTGACAATTCAGTAATTTTTCTTATGAAAATTGGTAAGAAATCATCAACCACACTGCTCTGTAATTCCAGCTGATGAAGTTATTGACACCAGTGCAAAAGAAATGCCATTAAAAGAGTGAAGATTAAAAATTCTGCTTGTTTTCATCAGTTGTGATGAAAAATGTAGGTGTATGATAAATTGATTTGTAGGTAAAAGCCTATTCAAAGCATCCAATTAGTGAGTCTGACAATGATATTTAAGAAATAAAGATAAGAAAATGTTTGAAATGTTGGCTAAATGATAGGAGTGAGGCAATTAGAAACTGATGTGGCAAATAGATACAACCCTTCACTAAAAGCTGCTTCACCACAGTGATGAGAATCTATTTGATTACCATCCTTACGTTAACCATAATCCATTGCCTTCATTGGCCGCACAACTGACTGATCCGGCATCAATAATTGCCTCAAGGTTGAGACTGGTCTTCAGGCAAAGTGTTGTGGTTGTTAGGAAATCCCACCAGGGAGGAGAGGGATTTGTTCTGTCTGTTCATTTTCATTTTTCAGATTCTTTACTCTTCTCAGTATTGTAGCACTTCATTCTCCTACATACTTCCTGTTTCTTCCCTTGTGTCATCTCTATATCCATGTGTCCATTTTTCTTCCTCTCTCTGCAAACAAATTTCCAACTCATCTAAAACACTTGCACAGACTACTTTACCACCTGATTTCTCCTTTCTCCCAATTCTCAGATTTTAACTTCCATTTGATTCCCTCTGCTCATCTGCAGTCTACTGTGATGCTTTTTTCCACCAATAACATCTCAACATCTAAAATAAAACCTTTCTAGTATTTTAGCCTACATTGGTCAACTTTAATAGTGTTAGATTTTTTAAAATGTTCATTATATGTGCCATTTTAATGATACTGTGTAAGTAGAATAATGTCTCTTAAACTATTTTGAGACCTTGGTTTTGTTTGGCTGTAACTTTGAATCTTTCTGTACATTGCTTTTGCTACATAAAAACAAAAAGAATGCAAAGCTCAGAAGTTTTAGGGACATGTAGGAAAAAAATGGCATGCAAGTTGCACGATTAAAAAAAGAAAAAAAAAACAATGCAGCAAAACAGAGACTGTAATATTTCAGGTCTGGATTTATCCTGCAGGTATTATTTGTTGGTACAAAACTCCAGCACAAAGTTCTGGTACAGAGAAAGATGTTTCTGGAGGAAAGTGAATTTGAAGCAAAGCTCCAATGCAGACAAATACATATGTAATCAGGAAGGACACTGTCCTTGGTGAGGAGGTGCTGAGCGGATTACAAGTCAAGAATACTTAGCAATTATCCATGCTGAATTTGTGACGTATTAAACCTTTGCACAATATAACCAATGCTTTGGTCTTACAGCAAGCCATTATTTGTTCAGATAACAAAAGGTAAGATACTATTCTGCCATGCCTACGACTGAAGATAATTTGTCATGCTAAAAGATCACTGTATTCTTAATATATCTGCTCTGAAAAAAACCTGGGTTTAAAGTATCGTAAAAACTGTATTTGGATCATTATGATAAAACTGAGAGAACTCTTCCCTTAAAAGCAACAATATTTTTCAGTCTGAACAGCTGCCAAAAAGCCACTCCATTTTGATGTGTTTCTGTAAGTTTACTGTCATAGCCTGCATGCTGTACCTGCTTGGTGAAATGTGTTGGTGGATGTCTTTTTCTTGGTGAGGGTCCTCCTTCTGAAAGAAACTTAAATGCTTATATTTGAAACTTAAGGATGTTAATTTAGATAAATCAGTTTTCTATTATTCTGTATGTATATACTATTTGCCTCAAACCACAGAATTAGATTCACATTCATGATCATCATGAGTCAAATTACATTGCAGTAACTTGAACAGTCCACAAATGGCATCAACCAGGCAAAACTGGTAGTGTTAACTCCAAACTTGTATTATACACTTTGGCTCAGAAGATCCATTGAGACACTATTGCAGTGTCTTGTCCCTAAACAGAAGCAACAAAGGTACTCAAAGTGTATTTCATATTAGAATTTGACTCTACAGTGAATCATACCTATCATTCAAAGTAATTCTGGATACCATGTTGTCAGACTAAAGAATCACTTCAAAATACATGATTTATTGCACATCTGTCTTCCCTGATACAAAAGAGGGAATCTATTGATTTTTTGAAGCCAATTTTTTTTTGTGGTGTGAGACATCACAATTGCTATTAACTATAATATTGTTTGGGCAGTGAAATAGTGCTATTAGTTAATGTGCAAGCAAATATCGACCAGTAATTTTCAACAATAAATGTAATGATACAAGACACGAGTGTTTGTTCAGCATTTTATTTTGACAATCCAACAACTGAAGAAAATCTCGGAGTCAGAATCTAGCTACCATTAAAATTTATGCAATGATTTCTATCCATCTAGGTTTGGCAAAACTGGCTGTGAGCCAAATGTCTAGTGACTTTAGCTTTAGAAGAAAATCAATGGTATGCAAATAATTATTGAATTGTTATAGACTAAGCAAAGCAGCTCAAAAATTTAAACAAAAGGAGGAGTTTTAATTCAAAGAACAAAGACTTGCTACTATTTCCCTTGAAATGTAGGCAGTGTTTGTATCAGTGGTCTTTTTGTTTTGTTACAAAAAATACTAGGAAGCTGAGCGGCAAGCACATTTAAGACAAAGTATAGCTACATCTTTTACCAGCATCCGTGCACATTCTCTGATAAGAACAGAAATATTTTACTTTATGCATCTAAGATCATTTTGATAATAATCCCTCGGCCACACATCAGTGCAGCAATAGGCACTCTCCATAGACCCTCTCCTGGTACCCACTGGCTTCAGTGGTGCTCCGTTCACTTGCCTCAGGGAAGGCAGTACCTCTCAGCCTGCACCCCCACTGATGTCAACACTGAAGGATTAGTGCAATTTGTAGATATGATTTTGCCATTGCTACCGGAAGGCCACAGGCTTCGAGCTTGCTGTGGGCTGAGCTGTCTTTAACAGGTGCCTCATGGCCCAGTGAATAGGAATGACTTGCTCTGGTAAAATAAGGCCTAAATTTACAATACAGAAAGGTTTTTCATATTTCTCAGACCAAATAATTGTATAACTAGGTGAATCTCTACTACTAGAAGGATTATTTGGTGGTCTCCTTTCAGGCATAAGTAATGTCCTTTTTCAGATCTGAGTATTGGCATTAGATAACATTGCTGGAGACCTACAGAAAAGTGAGAAATGTTTGCTACCTATTTTGTGTAACACAAGATATAGTGAAAAGAAGCAGAGGAGTAGCTGACCTCTTTACTGAAAAACAAATTATTTTTCTGTTAACATTAGCCTATACCACTAAAAGATGAAAGATTTATTATCAAATTACTAGGAAACACAAAGCATTCAATTAAGATTTAAATCTGTGGTTGCATGTTTTTAATTCTTCATCACAGGCAGGTCTTTCATGAATCACTCATCATTTATGAAATACATTATGAGAATATGCGTAATGTTCATTTTCTCAAAGAAGGAATTAGGAGGAAGTCAATTATTTCAACAGACTATATTATTTAAAACATTATTTCCCATCAGTTTTGTCAGTTTTCCTCAGTGTGAAATTAAGTACAGAGTAGTCATATTCAGTGTAGGTTCCCTTCATTTATTTAAATTAACATTATTACATTACAACCCAGTAAGCTTAGTTATACTTACCACTGCTGGGGGCAGGCATCAGGCTGTGGCAGGTCCTGAGGGTGTCTGGGCTGCCCTTGGCCTGAGCGGGGCTGAGCTGGGTTTACCAGGTGCCCCGTGGGCAAGTGCCCATTGCCCAGCCTGTCTGAGCGCCAGCTCAGTGAGTGCCCCTGGGAAGGGGCTGACAGCCCCAGGCAGTCCCTGAATGACAAATTCTGGGGGTACTGGGGGGATGCAGGGGCAGCTTTCAACCCTTGCCTGGGAAGAAGGGGAAAGGAGCAAGCTGGGGAAAGAAGTTGTGTAATGAAGTGGAATGGGACACGGGATTGAGGACACCACCATAGACAAGAGGTAAATACTAGAAAGGTGGCTTTGTACATGTGACAACTTTGACTGTATTATTAATGAGGCTTTTTTGCATTGGATAGTTTGGAGTATTTGACTGGGAAATGCTAATAGGACAAGCAATAAATGGCATACGCCTATATCAGTATTTTGAGTGTAAGAGTATTTACCACAGACAATACACATAATTTACCTTATGCTAATGAGTATAACTAATCATTATTTTGTTAAAAAAATTACACCTGTATTTCAGAAAGTGCACAAGTGATTAATTTTTCCTCTTGTACAATGAAGAACAGTTAAAGCAACCTTGTCCCTCAGTTAATTTATGCATTAAGGACTCTTCAGACAATTTGCTGCCTGTCCTCTTGTTGTCTTTGAACTGCAGCAAGACATTTCTTTTCAGCATCACAAATGCCTGACTTTTTCACTGACTGCAGGGCATGTATCCTTGCAAAAATGCTTGAGAAACTTAGTACCTAAGGCACAGAAAGAGTGACTTAGTGGTTTGTAGAGGTCTGTGGCAGACTGGGGAATTAAGCCTTGCCACTGTAAGGCTCATGATTCAGATCCTTGCTGTCACTAACAGCAAAGACCATCCATAACGTTTTGCATTCCTAACAATATCAGCGACCATAACACTAGCTAGGAGTTATGGAGAGGAACTGAGCCAGCTACAGATCTTGAAAGGATCTTGCTCTCAGATTGCTGGTTGCTCAGGAGGAGCCTGAGGTCTGGAGTTGTATCTTGTCATTTACAAATTCAAGAACTGTCTTCAGGACTTCAGGTGTGAGATGGTTCATGTCTGAAGAATCATCTGCCTCTGGGCAAGAGGGGTTTTGTGCAATGAAGAGGGTAGTTTTTGTAGTTCTATGGAGCTGGAAAAATGCCTAGCATGCACAGAAGCATGTTGAAAAGAAAACACAATATCCCCACTCTGACAGAATCTATGGTGGTTGTGTTTGACTTCACAGCTGACATGATCAGACTCAGCTCCCCCTACCAGTCTCCATTCATTCTCTCACCATGTTGCTTTCCCAATAGTACAGAGAGAATAGGATGTTCTCCTTTTCTTTCCCCTCAGAGTGAGAGATGACCTGGCAGGGAAGCAAGCAGATTTCACAGGAACCATTGTCTCTTTAGCCACACAGGGCTCTAGAGAGACATCTGTAAGATAAAGGATATCACAGGGGTTTTTGTCAGGCCCCGCAAGCAGAAGTGTAGATGATACGCTAGCAGAAATTATTTGCTAATAGAATATGCCTTCTCTTTCAGTTTGAAGGCTTTTAAGTGTAACAGATGGCAGTACTATCAACATAATGTCAGATAAGGGACATTGGCTCATACTGGAACACCACTGACCTGATTGATAATATTTATGCACTTGCACTATTTTAATAACTTGATTCCTTTAATCAGGCAAGAGTTACTTCCAAAAAGGCACTGTTGTCGTCTGGAAGTCATCCGAAAACTATTCAAATGTCACAAAGGTCAAATTAAATGACTGATCTTATTTCCAGCGTGATAAATTTCAAAGCATAAGATCCCTTCACAGCTGAAGCAATTCTGAACCTTTGCTTACAGAGGGAATAGACATTTAATGAAGAATTAGCAGAATGGTATTCTAAAATCAGGTGAAAGCAAGCTGACGGCGTTGGAAGAATCCTATCGGTGTGACCTTGATTCACTTACTTTGTCTGTCTTGGTTTCAATACTTATCACTCAAGTAATCACAAATAAGATCCAGTCATCCAAATTTTGGAGGATTTCAGTGTCCATTAGATCTACAAGCCACCATTTTTCTTAAATGGAATTTTTGTAAATTTAGAAGCCAAAAGCCAAATATAGTTTTATAATTTTATTTAAATAAGAATAAGCAAAACTGCGCAGGGTACGCCGGAGAGTCTCCTCTCCGCCACCGATGCACACCGTGTAAACAAACCCACCCCCTTTATAGTCTTTTCCTAATACATATTCATAAGATGGGTGTGTTTAGTCCACGCAAGCGTAGTGGAGTTTTCTCAAATCTGCTCAGATTCTTTGGTGTTGTTGAGGGGGGATTCTCTGGTGTTTTTCTACTCCTCTTCCCGCTAAAATGAGGGTCCTTCTGGTACTTTTCCATCAAAACAAGGGTCTGCCTCATACAAGGGTCTGTCTGGTACTTTTACACTAGGTGCAGTAACAACATCGTCAAAACACCAACATAGCCATCACATAGTCTGAGATTACAAAACCTCAAACCGATTTAAAGATAAAATTACAATAACTTTTCTTTAGACATATATACATCATAAAATATTTACAACACATACATTTGTATTAAAGGTCAATATATTTTATAAACAGGAATCTTCACCACATTTATTAGAGAATTATTATTGTG